TGAGCACTATTTTGAGATTTTGAGCACTTTTTGAGCACTTTTTAGCCATTTTTGCCAGCACTTTTTTAGGATTTTACCAGCGCAATCGGGAAAGGCCTATTGGCTTTTGCTTCTATCTTCATATGACATAGTTATTGGAAGCTTCTTAACGCAGAACTTATCCAAAGTATGCATGCAATCTCTCTCGCGTGGATGTCAATCCTTTCTTTGAAACTCATACGAAATATATATAGCTGCGTAAAATTGTTAGCTAACTGAACAACGTACATGAACGCACAAAATATCAAAATCATAGCTAGTGTTGAATATTAATTATTTGTTGATTTAGCAAGTATAATTTTGCCAAATATAACTATAGAGAGGTGTCAGCTGTTCTTTGTGATTCCAGACCATCTAACATACGATTTTTTTATTCTCGTCTTGTTTGCCAATTAATCACAACTGTTTCCAATTTAATAGTTTTGTTTGTGGAAACACCACGTAAAGTAATGACTGCAAAACTTTCGATCGGTAAGCCCGGATCTTCATCAGTGCTATTAATAATATGACATATTATTATTATATTATTATTATTATTATTATTATTATTATTAATATTATTATTATTATTATTATTATTATTATGATTACCGTGATAGCCGAAATATATATAGCTAAATTGTTAGCTAACTGAACAACGTACATGAACGTACACAAAATATCAAAATCATAGCTAGTGTTGAATATTAATTATTTGTTGATTTAGCAAGTATAATTTTGCCAAATATAACTATAGAGAGGTGTCAGCTGTTCTTTGTGATTCCAGACCATCTAACATACGATTTTTTTATTCTCGTCTTGTTTGCCAATTAATCACAACTGTTTCCAATTTAATAGTTTTGTTTGTGGAAACACCACGTAAAGTAATGACTGCAAAACTTTCGATCGGTAAGCCCGGATCTTCATCAGTGCTATTAATAATATGACATATTATTATTATATTATTATTATTATTATTATTATTATTATTAATATTATTATTATTATTATTATTATTATTATGATTACCGTGATAGCCGAAATATATATAGCTAAATTGTTAGCTAACTGAACAACGTACATGAACGTACACAAAATATCAAAATCATAGCTAGTGTTGAATATTAATTATTTGTTGATTTAGCAAGTATAATTTTGCCAAATATAACTATAGAGAGGTGTCAGCTGTTCACCGGAATAGCCGTGGATACTCCTATCGGAGTAGGAGAGGTAATAAGAAGGATAAGTGCAAAATCTGCCGGATAAGCCGTGGAATAACCCAGACTTACTGAATTTTTATTAGCTACTATTGATATAAAGTGTAGAGAATGGACCTATCTGTCTAATATAGTGAACTGTTTCTCTATTTTCCTGATTTAATTGAAAGTCTAATTATGTGATATATTTGTATAAATTATCATGTTATTAATAAAGATTTCTGTTGTTTAAAAAAAATTATTAATGGAGCTGGGGGACTCGAGAAACGTATCAAGAGATTCTGTTGCTATAAACCAAAGCAATTTACCGGAGTTGAATAAGGACAATTTAATACGGGATTCGCAAACGGGAGAGGGCTCAAACGGTTTCGATATGTCGGCGAAATATGCCGCCTTGATTGATGAATCGCAGTATACAAATCAAACGAATGAATTGCAAACAACAACCCGCCACGATTTGCATAATAGTCAACATGAAATTCCTGGAGCACTCGATTAGAACGAAGATAATGCAATTATCTCGGGCTGTCTTCTGGAGTATAATAATGTAAATAAACCACCTATGATTAATTGGGGGAAGCGAGGCGATGGACGAACAATAGTTATATCGACGTCAGACATTACAGATGCATATGATGAAATTACAACTTGGAAAAAGAATGTTTTTCTAGTGCCATACGGGAAAATAGGAAGGGATTTTATCGATCTGGGGCCGGTTGTATCAAAGGCGTTTAACTTAAACGGTGTTTAGCCGCTATCCAGCGTATAAATTTCTTATCCAGCGGATAGTTAAACGGCCGATAAAATTGCGTTGTACGAAGCCCGTTTAGTACCGCGTTTAACTATCCGTAGGATAACCTTTAATTTAACCGGAGAAACCCGGATTTTCTTGAAATTTCCTACCTCTACGTCAGCTGTTGCTAGGCCTTTGTAAACTTTTGAAGCTTTATCTAACTTGTGAATTCCACTAAGCTTTTGCAATAAAGTTTGTTGTTGTTTTTATTTGGAGTTTGCTCGTCCATTCGTTGCTGCAAATCTATATCAAACTTTTCATTTTCACATTGTGCTGAGTTTCTCATTCACTTAAATTCACTTACGGATATTTCTTTAAAGATTTTTGGCTTCTTTATGCGAAGAGTCGAAGGCAATAGCAAAAACTGTGAGCTGTATTTGGCTTTTGTCAGTTGATTCAGTTTTATACTGTTTGAATGTGTTCCTCGACCTTGCACTTTTGTTCAAAACAATTTTAAGAACATTTTGTCCTACGTTTTGATTGGCTGATCAAAGCAAGCGAACAATTTTTTTGGACTTTCGGCGTCTTGTTGTCTATTTTGTATACTTGTTGGCTTTCCAAAGTCATTGTTTGTTTTACAATAGCTAAAGTTGGGAGTCTTACTGCTTGTTTTCAAACTATATAATAGAAGAAAAGAAGAAGAAAAAGCCAGAGTATATATAATTAACATCTAAACATGACACTGGTGTGCGTAAATATAGCAAAGCCACTGAATTACAAGTGAGCAAGTGACCTCAGTGTACCTCAAGACCAAGCCAGTTAAAAGTGAGTTTTTCATGTTTATTGGATTTAAAAAGATAACTCCTCTACATGATTGTGCATTTTTATAACTATCCCATGATTTTTCATCCGAAATAATCATTGTTTTATCTTCAAACTCAGAGTTTATCCGCCGTATAGCGATTTAAACGGTCTCAAGAGACCGTGTAAGTTTACACGGTGGATAGGCAAAATTTAACCGGTGGATAGCCCTAAACGGGCTTGATACAACGCGATTTCTCGAGGGTTTAAATTTTATCCAGCGGATAGCGAGTTAAACGTTGGTTAGCGAGTTAAACGCCTTTGATACAACCGGCCCCAGATAACGATGCATATAAACGACTGGAATAGCGGTTCGGAAAATCAACATGTTTCCCTAAAAGCTGTTTTTGTACTTCTCGCCGTTGGGCTTCAAAAGCCAAACCCGAAGTCCAAGGCAAAGAAGGACCATCAAGATGCCTTGTCAAAGCGACTTGCACTTTGGAAGGACGGTGAGATCAGTAAGCTAATACGTGAGGGACGAATCATACAAAGTCGTATTGGAAAATTTAAAGGATCAAACCACCCTGATAAAGCTAAAGTCTTTGCTAAGCTTGTGCTAGAAGGTCAAATCAACTCCGCCCTTCGCTTCCTGAGTGAAACCTCAAATGGCGGCGTGTTAACGTTAACTGACGACGTAATGACGCAATTAAAACAGAAGCATCCTGAGCCACAACCAGCAAAACTAGGATCGGTATTATTTGGCTCGCTCAATGACGAGATACCCGAATCTGTTTACTCACAGATCAATGGTGAGATGGTTAGACAAGCCGCTTTGAGAACAAAG